AAGGGGGGAGGCAAATGGGATGCTGATTATAAAGGATGCATAAAGTCCTTGAGAAATTATGAATCCCTTGAAACACTATCTGCAAGTAGGGGAAGTTATGACCGGGTAGAGGAAGAAAAGATTTGGGAAGTTGCTGAGCAAGGTTTATACTGAAATTTGTTCTGGAGTCCTCAAAGCTTCACACTCTTTATCTGTAAAAGGGAAGAAACAGTACCTACCTGCCCTAAATAAACTGAAAAGGTGATTTAATTGTGTAAAAATGATCATTCATTTACTGTATTTTCTCTGTCGTTGTTGTTGTTAGGCGCCGTGGAGTCGAGTTGGTTTTCTCTATATAGGGGTTCACTGGGAATAGCATTGGGTCTAATATAAAGATACATATGTCAGCATAATGCCTGGCACACATAAAATGAGATCTTAACGACAAAGAATTATTTTGACACTTTCATTGTAAAAGGTGGGAAGTAAGAAGGTGCAAGGGAAATCCTGAAAATCAAAAGGTGAGTCTGGCCTAAAAGGCCTACGTGATGTGCCAGCGCTGTCACAGGCGTAGGATCTGGCTCGCTGTAAAGCGACTCTGGGTGGCTTTCCATATATAGACACCCGAACGCTGGGCGCCACCCGACACCAGGAATCTGCTACTGACGCTGGACCTGTCTACGCAGAGGGCACCTTCCCGTTCACGAGGGCCGAGCGCCCAAACCTGGGGCCTAAAACGCAGATTGCTGCGGATCCAAGCCCCGCGCCTCCGGCTCCCTGAGGCTTGCGCCGCGTCCCGCCCGCAGTGCGCCCGCATCCGCGCAGCAAACGGGTTCGCTCTCCTTACCTGCAGTAATAGCTTCACCCTCTCGATGGGGGCGACCGCAGTCTTGGAGACGGCAGCGGCGATGCCACCTGCCAGGAAATCCTTCACGAAGCTCAAAGCTTGATCACCCATGATGCTAGCTGGACGCTGTGTACCTTCAATGAGCCGCTCTCGCGCTCTCGGTTACGCTCCAGCCAGGCACCGCCACTCCGTCTCCGACCCTGCGCAAAGCGAAGGGACCGCTCCCCTGGCCCCGCAGCCCTCCTTATATCCCCCTCCCGGTCTCTCGCGAGAGGAGGAGGGACCCCGGGCAGTGCGCGCATTGCGCATTGGCTGGGCAGGTGCTTGGACACCCCGGCCGGTCCTGCTCCTCTGCAGAGGACATAGGGGGCGAAGGTGCTTCCGGGAGGCAGGGGTGGGCCGGGGGCTGTGCCTTCAGCTTGGGACATTTAAAGGGCACATTAATGTTATCTGTCCCGGCGAACAGAGGGAACACCATGTCACTGCAGCATGTGGGTCGCTGTATTTATAGCACAAGAAGGCTTAGGCTGGGGCCGTCCTGGGGAAAAAGATACGGGACCGATGCCTCAAGCAGGGCCATCTTTGACCTCAGGCGTGTTTGTCACCTAGTCCTAGCCATTGGATTTTCAGGCGAATTTTCCTCCTCCTGCCATGTATCGCTGTTTTTGCACCAGAGTCTACTGTTCGGATTTGGGTCTCTTCAGAATTGTGCACTCACTTAAACAAATTAGTATCCTAATATATAAATCAAAATTCATTTTATGCTGTGATTGCCCCCTATAATCCAATAATCTTCTCTGATAATCTCTCACCCTCTTGTCTTCATTCAATCGTGCTATCATTCATTCTGTTATGAAATATGTATGCGCTTGGCAGTGGCATCACTACGGTTGAAGTCACACTGGTGTCACCTTGTGTGGTAACTCCTGGTTGTCACTCCCCCTCCATACCAAACCATACAGAATCCTGAGTAATCTTTGTTGTCAATTTAAACCATAGAATAATATGTGATAAATATAGTTGCAAGTGATTAAAATGTAATGTTCTAAATTATGTTAATTCTAGGAACAAAATTAAAAAATTTTTCTATAGTGAATTACAACATTATCAGTTGCAACATTACAATGTAACTTTTTGAGTTTTCTACGTTTCCTTTAATTACTACTTGATTCTCAAAAAAATTCTTGATACAGGCCCACAAATACTACTTGCCTCGATATTGTAGGTAAAACACCAGAAAATTTGACAAGATTAGTGACTGTCAAAACACCAGCAACAACAAAACAACAGTACATGCTTATAGTACATACAGACAGAATCCATGATTGTAATTGCATACTGACAGCTCGGACGGGGTGCATTGTTGTTAAGTGTCATCCAGTTAGTTCTGACTCATGGTGAACCTCTGTAAGACAGAAGGAATCATTGCCCAGTCCTGTACTATTCTCACAGCAATTGCTGTGTTTGAGCACATTGTTGCAAACACTGTTTCAACCTATCTCTTCATGTCCTTCTCCAGAGACTGGTCCCTCCTCAGAAGATGTTCAAAGTACATGAGACTAAGTTTGATGTCCTGGCTTCTAAGGAGCACTCTGGCTAGACTTCTTACAAGATTTGTTTGTTCTATTGGCAGTCCATGGTACTTTCAATGTTCTTTACCAGCATTGTAATTTAAAGGCATCAATTTTCTTTGGTCTTCCATTGTCTAGTTTTTGCATGTATATGAGGTGATTGAAAATACCATGAGTTGGATCAGGCTCCAAGTGACATCATTGCTAATAAGTATTTTTAAGAGGTCTTTTGTAGCATAGTTTCCCAGTGCAATAATACATTGTACATAGATTTCTTGGCTGCTGCTTCCATGTGTGTTGATTGTCGATCCAAATAAAGTGAAATCCTTGACAACTTCAATCTTTTCTGTTTATATAATGTTACATATTGGTTCAGTTGTGAGGATTTTTGTTTTCTATTTGTTGAGGTGTAATTCATACTGAAGGCTATAGTCTTTGATCTCCACCTGTTACTGCTTGAAGTCCTCTTTGCTTTCAGTAAGCATGGCTACATCATCCACATTTCACAGGTTTTTAATCAAACTTCCTTTAATCCTGATGCCATGTTCTTCATATAGTCTGGTTTCTTGGATTATTTGCTCAACCTAAAGATTAGATTAATATGATGAAAGGATCCAACCCTGACACACACCTTTCCTGACTTTAACCCATACAGCACACTCTTGTTCTGTTCAAATGAATGCCCCTTGGTCTATATACAGGTTCCACAGGAGCATAATTAGGTACTTTAGAATTCCTATTCTCAAAATCTTATCCATAATTTGTTATGATCCCACAGTAGAATGCCTTTGTATAGTCAACAAAACATAAGTAAACATTTTTCTAGTATTCTATGCTTTCAGCCTAGACCCATCTGATAACAATGGTATCCACAGCATTGAATTTCTGGCCATTCCCTGATCATGCTATAGCTGCAACTATTTTTGAAAAATGATTAGCAAAATTTTACTTGCATGTGATAATAATGATATTGTTTGATGATTTTTGCATCCTATTGGATTGCCTTTCCTTGGAATGAACAAATACATGGGTCTCTTCTAGTCAGTTGGTCAGGTAGCTGTCTTCCAAATTTCTTGGCATAGATGAGTGAATACTTCCAGTATTGCATCCATTAGTTGAAACATCTTAATTGGCATTCCATCAGTTCCTAGAGTCTTAATTTCACCAATGCTTTCAGTGCAACTTGGACTTATTCCTTCAATATAATTCCTGATCATCTGGTACCTATTGTAATGGCTGAAATTTAACCAATTCATTTTGATACAATGATTGTTTGTATTCTTATAATCTTTTTTGATGCTTCCTGCATCATTCAATTTTTTCAGTCATAGAATCCTTCCATATTGCTTGAAGTTTGGAATTTTCATTTAATTCTTTTACCTTGAGAAATGTTGAAGGTGTTCTTCCCTTTTGGTTTTCTGACTTCAGGTCTTTGCACATTTCATTTTTATATTTTACATTGTCTACTCAGAATGCTCCTTGGAGGCCAGGATGGCCAAACTTCGTCTCTCATACTTCAGAAGTATTGTCAAGAGGGACCAGTCTCTGGAGAAGGATATCATGTTTGGTAAGGTGGAGGGTCAGAGAAAAAGAGGAAGACCCCCAGCGAGATGGATTGGCAAAGTGGCAGCATCAATGTGCTCAAGCGTGGCAACAATTGTGAGGTTGGCCCAGGATCAGGCAGTGTTTGGTTCTGCTGTGCATAAGGTAGCTATGGGTTGGTATCAACTCGATGACACCTAACAACAACAACTCCAGCCACTCACTGAAATTTACTATTCAGTTCTTTTACTTTATTTCTTCTATTTGCTTTAGCTATTCTATCTTCAAGAGCACGTTAGAGTCTTTTCTGACATTCATTTTGGTGTTTACTTTTTTTCCTGTCCTTTAAATGACCTTTTGCTTTCTTCATGTATGATGTCCTTGATGTCATTCACAACTTGTCTAATCTTAGGCCATCAACATTCAGTGTGTCAAATCTATTTTGAGATGTTCTCTAGAGAATGGAGGTTGTACTTTGGCTCTTGAGAACTTTAGTTTCCTTCAGCTTCAACTTGCACTTGCATGTGAGCAATTGATGGTCTGGTCTGTGGTCAGCTCTTGTCCTTCTTCTGACTGATAATATTGAATTTCTCCATCGGCTTATTCCACAGATGTAATCAATTTGATTCCTGTGTATTCCTTCTGGTGAGGTCTACATGTGTAGTCTCCACTAACATTGTTGACAAAAGGTAAGGAATAGATGGTTGGACTTTTAAAGTTCCATCATGCAATCTCTGGCATACTGATTCTTCTTGTTTTTAGCTTTTGCTTTTGAATTACCACTCATTGTTAATGCATTTTGATTGCATATTTGATCAATTTCATACTGCAGAAGTTGTTAAAAATCTTTCACTTTTTCATCTTTGGCATTAGTAGTTGGTGTGTACATTGAAATAAATTGTTTTGACTGGTCTTGCTTGATGATTTATGGACATTATCCTATTACTGACAGCATTGTGCTTCAAGATAGATCTTGAAATGTTCTTTTTGACAATTAATGTGACACCATTTCTCTTTAACATGCCATTCCTGGTATAGTAGGCCGTATGATTGTCCAATTCATAGCTGTCACTACTGGTCCATTTCAGTTTACTAAAAGAGAAGAAAACCTCCCAATGAGATGACCTGACACAGTGGCAGCAGCCATTGTGAGGTTGGTACTGGACCAGGCGGTGTTTTGTTCTGTTGTGTGTAGGATCATTATGAATCGGAACTGAATCCACAGCACCTAACAACAACAGCAATGTTCTTACTGTTATCTACCTGTCTTCAATTGTTACGTTTCATTGTTGACAACTACCAATTTTCCTAGACTCATACTTGTATTCCAATTACACCCTGTATTCTAATTTTTAATGGGTGTTTGCAGCTGATTTTTCTCCTTTGGGTCATTTCATATTAGCATATGCAGGACCTGAGAGCTTTACTCTATCCACACCTTTAAGGCCAACTCTACTTTGAGGAAGCAACTTTTTTCCAGTCGTATTTTGCATGCCTTTCCACCTGAGGGGCTAATCTGGCACTATACATTACCACGTTCCGTTGTTATCCATAAGGTTTTCAGTGACTAATTTTTAGAAGTAGTTCACCAAGTCCTCCTTCCTAGTCTTTGTCTAGAAGCTCTGCTAAAACCTGTCCACTAGGGGTGACCCCACTAGTGTTTGATATATGGGTGGCAGGGCAGTATGCAAGCCACCACAGGACAACAAACTGTGGTGGGAAGTTCAAAAAGTAAATTAGCATAGAATTTTTCCCTTGTAATTGTATTAAAGCATGTTAACTGGGTTTATAAACATATTTTTTGTTGTTATAACTAACTATGGAAGTACTTTTTATTTAAAAAAAAGAACACAGTCTTGTTTAAACGCTGCATAAAAATGTTATGGATAGTCATTTTGGTGCCATCCCTTCTGACAATGTCACCTGGGGTGGTCCAATTCCCCTGGATCCCCCTAGTGATGACACTGATGCCTAGTGTTCAGTGCAGGGGGGGCACTGGATTTCTTGGCTTTTCTGTTGGATCAGCCTGTTACACTACAACACAAAGCTCGATGACTCTAAGAACAGGGAGCTGAGAGAAGATTCCTTTTTTAAAAAGCCGTGA